TAGCTCATCTCTGATTTGCAGCCCCGTAGGCTGGCCGGGAACAACCTCTCACCCGGGCTGCAGCCCCGTTCCAGAAAAACCGTCCCATTTAGCCTCCTCAACTGAGAACAGCCCCCAGTAAAAAGGGGTTTTTCCATTGCCTGCTCTTTGATCCGTTTCCAAGTCGAGATGCTGAAGAGCAGACTCAGGACCTCTGGCTGCAAAACAGATGTTGCCCCCCTGCCTCAGTCGTTGCCTACAAGTTGTTGGGGCGAATTCTGCACCAGAGAATCACTCTTCTTTCAACAGATGGCATTATGCTGCATCCCCCAGAGCATGTCGATTTGCTTTCCGATGTGCGATGCATCTCTGCTCCTGGGCATTTGCAATACTCTGGCCAGGGCAGGGAGGCCGAAAGGGGCCACAGCTGGAGGGGGCAGCGACGAGGCTTGTGGATCTGGCCTTGGGGTCCTGGCAGGGGTTTGACCTTCTCTTTCAGAGGAGCGAGGCTAACTTGGTTCGCCTGTAAGCTGAGCTCTGCCACGCTCTTCCTCTCCCGTAGAAGCCACGGCAGACGAGAAACCACTCCAGGGGTTGCTGAAGTGCCTGAAGGAGCTGATTATCCTGCAGCCCTGCCCTGCCCACCCAGCACCCCGCAAGCCTTCCACAGGGAGCCGGCAGCAGGTCCCCGGGGGCCGGCAAAGGGAAGGCAGGAGCAGCTCACTGCCCGTCCAAGGTGAGTCTGGATCTGGTTTGACCCCCCGGGCACCTTCCACTTCTTTTCCCCGAACGTGGATTCTCCTCTGGCGCCTCCTTCCTACCCTGGGTTCTGGGTGGTGTCTCCTACTTGGAACTGGCATTTCCTGTGGCTCCTTAGGAAAGATGTGGCAGAATCGCTGATCCGAGGAACGCTGGCTGGATGGCAGGGGAACCGGATGCGCTCGGGAGAGCCTGCCCAGACCTTGACAGCGTCTTGAGCCAACGGGCTCTTTCTGCCAACCAGCCTTCACCAACCCAAAGGCCTCCTGTTCCCAGACCTCCCCTGCCCACATGGCCATCACAGGGAATCCTGGGAGTGGAAATCCACACATTTGGAGGAGAGGCAGCATGGGGAAGGTTACTCGAAAGTAAATGGGCCCTCAGCAGACACCTTTGAGTTACAAACCCTTGTGGCCAATGGTCCGTGCATTTTGTTATAACGGGTTCCCTGCTGTATTGTGCAGTGAAAGCCCTGTTTGGCTCTATGGGAGCTGGTCCGACTTTAGTTTCTGGGTATGCAAACTAAATTCACTTATGTTTTCCTTATATACAGGTAACCCTTGTTTCACAACTGCCTTGCTTAGTGACTGTTTGCAGTTACAGCAGTAGTGAAAACATAACTTTGCGACCAGTCCTCACATTTACGACCTTTGCAGATCTGTAAAGCAAAGGGAAGCTGAAGTCAGATCGTAAGCACAGTTGTGGTTTCACTTAGTGACTGCTTTGCTTAATGACAGAGTTGCCAGTCCCAATTGGGGTCACTAAACGAGGACGACCTGTACGTAGAAAACTAAGCCATTACAGAGAGGGAGAGAGCTCCTGAGACAAGAGTCTGGTATGATCTATTTTCAAAAGTTAGCTTTTTTCCCCACGGGATCAGCAAGATGCCTGTTCCATGCATAAGGCTTAAGCCAGTTTTACAGAGTTGCTGAGGTACCGGCGCGTTTTATAAAAGCGTATGAGTGTGTTTTTTAAACAACGGAGACCATGATCCCGTGCCGGCCAGAACAAATTATTTTCAACTTTTCCATGTCGTCCCTGTTGGAATTAAGGCAACGGGTTTCCCAATCAGCTTTTACCTCTGAATGCCTAGATTTTAATTTCTCCCTGTTGTCCTTCCTGCAGTTAAGACGGAAGCTTCCACAGAAGAGCCGGGGGTCTGCCCCCCGAGAGAAGGATCCGGCCCTCCTGCTGCATCTTGGGGGCACACTTCCCCCTCCCCGGCTGAAGCGAGCAGGAGAGCGAATTCCCCAGGCCGGAAGGAGGGCGCCCGCTTTCCTGCAGGTACGCTACGGCTCGGCCTCCCCGACCCGCAGCCGGCGAGCGGGCCCACGGCTGCCGACCGCAGACCCCGTCTTGCTGGGTGCTGTTCCCTCGCTGCCTGGGGGCTTCTGTAGGGAAGGGGTTTTTCCTTTCCGTCCTTCTCTCTGGAAAAGCCAGAACAATGTCGATGAAGTGGAACAGCACCCCTTGCCTACCCTTGCACTGGGCTTAAATGACGTGCCAAACCCCAGCCCTGGTTTAGCAAAACGAACAGTGGCCAGTGAAATCCACAGCGGGTGGCTTAATGCGGTAGTGGCCTGGTTCTCATAACACGTTGAGCCACCAACTGTCCAAGCTTGTGCTAGCTTAGTCAAGGTGCCTGGGTGTCTGAGGTTGGCAGGGCGGCCAAAGGACATGGCGGGCATAATTTTGTAATGTTTTTGAAAATCTTATTAGTGAACCATAAGAGAGTAAACAAGGATAATTAATCAATGATAATACACTAAGAAAAACTGCATTGTTTCTTTAGGTGTGATCTTAGGACCCGCGGGGGTCCCCCAAGACCCTCCCAGGTCCGCGAAATCAAAATTATTTGCCAGCCTATGTTGAAAAGTAATATAATCTTAAAGCCCCTTCAAGCAATTGTGAGAAGCAGTAGTGGCAGCAAATCTATCAATTTTTCATTTTTAATACAGTAAATATCGATAAGTAGAATCCACGCAAAAAACTCTTTTTTTTTTTTCCTCTCTCTCTTTCCGGGTGCTCCTTAGAAAAAAGTTTAAGAAACGCTGCCTTACAGGGGTTCAAATGTGCTTGTAAGGGGGGGAAAAAGGAGAAAAGAAAAAATGAGATCCATAGGAGAACCTAGAGAAAGAAAACGCTCCATCTTCTCATTTTGAGAACGTGAAGACATCTCGAAAGTTGACAAGGAACCCATATCTTGAATCCATTCCTTAACATAAGAGGTGTTATTTTTTCCCATCTACGTAGAATAATTCTCGGGTTTCTCTTCACAACGTATAAAGCACCGTGGTGCAAAGGTTGCCACTGCGTGGTTTCTTCCCAGCGGGTGGCAGCGCTTCGGGCTCGCGGGCTGACCCAGAACGTTTAGTGCCGCGAAGAGAAAGCGGGTTTAGGCCTGGCCCTTCCCTTAAGGTTGGGGTGGTGGTGGTATAATTTAGGGCAGCAACTCGCAATGTGCTTTGCTGGACGCGGCTCAGGACTGCATTTGCACAAGAGGCTGGACTTCATTCGGGTTAACCTGGGTTAGCTCTGTTGTGGCTTAGGGGCGGTGGGGCGGAGCCGGGCTCGTTCATTAGTTGATGGCTCTACTAAATGAGCTGCCATCTGGTGGGACAGGCTGCCCCATGAAATGATGGGTTCTCGGCCACCAGCGGTCTTCCAGCGGAGGCTGGAGGGCATCTGTCAAAATAGCTGTAGAGCAGTGTTTCTCCACCTTGGCCGCTTGAAGACGTGGGGACTTCAACTCCCAGAATTC